CCTAAAACATATTAGTTGCCAAATAATAATAATAATAATAATAATAATAATAATAACACCTGCTTAAAATGTGCATGCATGAAAAACCAGTCAGAGTCAAAAGGAGCTGCATCAATAGATTTTTTTAATTCAAAGTGAATCTTAACAATAATACACCATTAAAGTCTTATTTTGACACTCACCAAAAGAGTCACCTGGAAAACCCGCTTAATGTGACAAAGTAGAGAAGGCTTGGTCACACCTAAAATTACTGAGAACTAGAGAGGAAACACTATCGCAAAGTGTAAGAGACATCACATCCATAGAGTTAGTTTTCCCAGTCCTCATACTGTAAATATTGCACAGTGCAATTGCTACATGGCAAACTAGTGTAGCACAAAGTAAAAATAAAAATAGCAAATGAAAAACTTAAAAACAAAGCCACAAAAAGTCTACAGGTAATAAAACAGTAACAGTTCAGAATCCATGATCAAATTTGAATTGATGAGTGATCTAAACAGATGATTCCATAACTTGCAGTGTGAATTAACTCTGAAACATGACAGACATGACCAGGAGACTGAAAATAAAACTAGAGTAGAAAAAAAAAACATCAACTCTCAAAACAAAGTAACACCGTAGCACATTTAGATTCTTACAGACCCTGAATTAGGAGGATTATTTCTGATACCAAAGTCTAGACTTTAACTGCATTTATTTATTTTTAAACAAATAACAGCTGTTTATGTTAAATGTTACAGATATTAATGTTACAGGTGTCAACTAATAAACATAAAATAACACGYTTGAATTATTTCTCTCCTCTTGCATCCATCAGAGTTGACGCAGGCGCATCGCTGGTGAAAAACCTTTATGAGGGAATTAAAACATTACATTTCACATGCTAATTACCGGGGAATTATCTCAAGCACTAATCTGTCAAGTTCATGCCTCGTCATTGTGAAATCGTTTGTTTTTTTTTTGTTTGTTTTTTCCCAAACTGATGGTTGACAAAGATCATACAGCCAAAAACATATTAAGATGAAATAATATTTAAAAAATAGGCAATTAAAAGCATACAACTGTCTCAGCGTCTGTGTCAAATGTGGGGTATTTGCACTCGCGACTGACAGAGAAATTACAATCTCTCCTCGACGGAGCGTTTTCCATCCAGAGCACGAAGTAAAAACAAAACGTGGCTCCTCTGATTTTAAAAGACCTGTGTTTGTCAGCTGTGCTCTGGTTACTCCCGCTTCTCCTTCGGTTGCATGACAGAAGACACAGTGGAGCAACGGATGCGTTTCATGCAAGGTAACGTAAAGCGTGGAGATCATCTAAGAACACTTTGTGGTGCAATGACCGCACAATGTAAAGTATTGCATCTGCTGTTCAGCCAGTTAACGATTCAATGATTGTAAAGTGTCATTTCATGCAGAGTCGAACTGTTTTCTGAGTGTGTTTATCACATCTGAAAGTAAAGACTTTTCACGGCGAGCTGATCAGGAATGACTCTGTGATAAAAGTCCTATGTTTGTTTGTTGTTGGTTTTCCTTCTTGGTTGAGGAAAGACGGTCTACGTGGGCTGTTGGTTGGATTCTCTGTCGTTTTCCTCACTGAAGTCTCTCGCTTTCTGAATCTCAAGGCACACATGCACAGTGCTGTTCACACTGTCTCGGTTTCAATAAAGAACACGTAACGATGGCCATTGCTTTGCGCCGACGAAACATTTCCATATGAGACACTCATAAAGGGGAAAGCGATCTGAACACAAGGCAGTTTCGAACACCAAACTGAAAACTGATCTTCGAACCAGATTAAACACTGAACAAATTATACAAGAAAACGCTTGCTTCTTATCAATTTGACAATTAAAACAAGTGGTAACAAATGTTTTAGAACAAAGACATTTGGGTAAATTTGTTTTATCATTCAAATATTTCCAAGCCTCCCTACCTGTGTAAGTGCTTAGTGGCAAGTGCGTTTGTGTGCGACTGGTGGAAACGTTACAGAAGCTTTTCAATGGGCCACAATTAACCTTTTTTTTTCCTTTTCCTGGCATCTCACAGTGCTCCTGTAACTCACAAACAATAAAGAAAAAAAAAAAAAGAGTACCGGTAGTACAAGGTACACAACGAGAAAGTTAAATCAACCCTGCAAGCTACAGCTTCTGATGTGTACAAAACACCGATATGAAAACATACAAAAAGTAAGTTACATCGATACATTGTTTATATGCAGTGACGAGCCCAAAAGGTTAATAAGGATTAAAATACTGATGCAAAAAAACACGCACAACAAAAACAGACACRCACACACACCCCGAGAAACAACGAATGCAACTAAATGTTCATCATCAGCAATACAGTAGTTACAGTGACACTCCAAATATGAACGCAAACACATAAACCAAACCACCTCTACTTCAGATAATTAGGGACCTATACAAAACGCTAGGTTTCAACTCAAGAGAAATCACCTAATTTCACAGCTATTGAAGTGGCAATCATCACATAGCAGCTTATCTATGATACATTCAAGAAAGAAATGATACGACTCATTAATTGCCCAAAAAGCTAGACAAAACATTGGCTGTTTTTTATTATTATTATAATATTTTTTTGTAATCTTTGATGTTATTTTATTTTTTAAAGATGTAACTTTTTTGTTGTTTTTAATTAAAACCCCATTCTACAACTACAGTATGACTGAGGTCTATGCRAACAGAATAGCTACCTTGCTCAGAAAATGAATTACAGTCTTTGGTGCTGCACAAGCAACTTCATTTGAAAATAAATGACAAAAATAAAACATACACACATAACTAGTAAAAGAATGAGGAGAAAAGCACGCACACACGCACACAGCATAAATATATATGTATGTACTACCATCACACATATATATGTATATATTCTCCCTGACGGAATGTATAAAATAAGCAGTTGACATTAACAAGCCTTAAGCCTTTAACAAATGGTATAATGTAAAAGGGGATAAGTTAACTTTGTCACACATGCATAAATAAGGGAATTGCACACAATTAACTCACACCTTATCAAGCATCTGTACTAWATAATCTAGCTCTATAATATATGTCCATATATGTGTGTCTGTATATCAAATACTGCATGGTTTGCTCAGGCTAAGAAGATTTCATACCGTAAATTAATTAGATTTTTTTTTCATCTTACCTAATCAAAGCCATGCCCATCACACCTCTAAACATCTAAAAAAAGAAACTCAAAAGTGAAAACACTCAAAATAAAAATAAAGACAAAAAAAAAACCCCAACCCTAAACAAATAATCAACAACTATTTAGATTGTATTGCAGTTTTCAAACAGTACAAATACTGTTAGTAGTAAGTTTCACTAAATAGAAAGTGATTATCAAATATTAAGCAATACTCAGTACTTGCACTTTTTTACACTAGTTCATTCGGGAACTGACAGAAAATAAGAAAAAAAACATTTTTAAGGAAACAGCAGGCATTCGCAACAGCAAAGCATGCTGTTCTTCTCAAGAGAACAGAAAAGTTACTCACTACACACTGAAATATACAGAGACTCCAAAGAAAAGAAGCACCGCTGTCCGCGATATATCTATATCACATCCATGCAAGCTATGCATGGACATATACACATGTGCATATACATACTCACACATAGGATGCATCGACTGATTGGAATTTCAAGTGCTGCAGTCCAGTACATTAATATTCATGTATATAGTCGTATATAAGTAGTTAACAATAACAACCTCAAATATGTAAGGCACTATGGCTGAGGACAGTTATACAATGCAGCGAATCTTGTGACACGAACAATAAGAGCAACGTCTATGCATCTTCCCGTTTACATTTTTGCTCATGCAAGACCACATGCAGCGTGAGGAACGACCTTATTTAAATCTGATTATTGACTTGACATTGAGAACACCAAAAGACACCGAAAAAAGGGTACAAATACTTGGAACRCAGTACAACGTACACTGTGGACACATGTGCGTCTGTCAATCTAGAGCTAGAGACTGGGATGGCTTTACAAATGTGAATGTGTCTCGCACACATAAGAAGGCAATGTAGAAAAATAGCTGGGACCGGGGGCTCTAACTATTCCACACCACCCCAATTATTTACCTGTCTTGAGGAGTATTTGTAAAAGATCTGATGCAAAGATATATCAAATGTGCAAAACACATTAGGTGTGGGTTGAACTACTCATTCATGCTTTCAGTTTGTCATTCATACATTATTTCCRTCCCAATTTTTGCCAAATCGTCACCACCAGTTTTTYYCCCCYYYTYYTYYTYYTYTTTTTTTTAAAGCTTGAAGTTCAATTACACCCAAGTCTACATGATTCAAAAAATAGTTTGCTTTCTCTGTGGTTGTGCCATGGTTTTCTGAACAGAAAGCCATGTTTGTGGTTTGAGATAGATTTCACCCTGCTTAGCCCCCCGGTGGTAGAAAAGGTACCAGAGCAGCCACACTCAGATGTAAGGGTATTGGTTTATTTTGGTAGGGCTGAGAGGGAAACTGCCATAAGCGGGYGAAGCAATGTAAGAGTGCGGGGGGAACAGGGGCTTGAACTGGCCCTGGGGGTGTATAGTAGGGGAAGGCAGCAGCCGGGGGTTGATACCCACTGCCACCTGGTGAACAATGCCTGCTGGGTGGGAGATGCTGTAGGTAGGCTGGAGGACGGGGCGGGAAGCTCCGGGGGAAGCCAGGAGGTGGGCCACGGGGGCAGTCGGGACCAGAGGGCCAGACKGAGGGTATGACAGCAAGGTAGGCTGGGAGTGCGGGTGCCCTCCAAGGTGGGGGTGGGGGCCAGCTGTGTGGTTGGGACTGCTGTGGGAGAGCGTGAACGTGTGCCCGTGCATGGTAGGAGGGATGTAGGCCTGCGGTCGMCGGTTGGCAAAGTTCCCATTCCACTCCTGGTGGCAAGAATTGAAATGCTGCACCTGAAGGAGAGAAGAACAACATTTAATCCGATTCAGATTTCATTGACACACATTGTGTTTTGATAGCTCCCGTATGCTGGTTTTTTTTCAAGCTTTCAAATCAATGAAGAAGGAATATCACATTATTCTTTTTGCTCTTAAAWATTTACACCAACTCAAGAATTCAGAGAATAGTTGGTGAAACCAGTAGTGTGGTGGATCAACTTCTATTTAAAGTAGACATATGCTTTTAAATCCTTCTTTTTCACWTTTAAAGCATTTAGTTGGGGTCTATATTAAGTGCGACTGCAAAACTGTGGTCTGAATTCCTCCTTATTGTAACTCCACAAGCCCCTTTCACCMCTTTTCTGAGGTGTGTCTCAAAGCAACTCGTTTTGAGGCTGCSTCTTTRGATTCAAACGAAGCGCTTCACACCCCGCCCCCTCCAGCTTCCAGACCAGTTTATACCAATTTGATAAAGGGACACATTGTTTTTTAATAATTTGATAAAGGGATTTACCTCTATCTGGCAGTGCATAAATGTTTTTTTAAAACAAATTCTTTAAAAGATATCAACTTGTCCATCCAGCCTTACATGTTGGAGCCAGTCTGACCCAGAGCCAGAGGAGAATGAAGGCAGTTCTGTCCCAAATAATTTGACATAAAATTTCAGAAAATCAAGAAAACTGAACAGGTTGAAAAATATGACCCAAACAGTTTATAAAGATATCTATGCAACACCAGGAGAAACTAAATTCTAATTTTCTGCACTTCTAGACATTCCAAGTACACAAAAAATGTATTTTAGCAGCTAAAACAAGGGATTTTGCRTGATATGACCCATTTAAAAACAGGTGCTGAATTTAGTAACTTAATGTAGCAATATAAAAAAGCGAAACATCCTATAAGAGAAGAAGATAAATGTTTCTTTAGACACAAATGGTAGTGCTAGTGAAGAAAGAAAGCTTTGTACCACCAAGCTTATTAGCTTATTAAAAAGGCACAAAATTACTCAACATAATAAAACCTAATTACCTAYATTAAATCATTCTGTCCAATCGATCAAACACTATTCATTTTAACTGAGGCTAAGCTTTTTTTCTGCAGTCAAACACCTTTAAATTGTACAAAACTGTGACGTCTCCCTGACCTCTGTACATTCATCTTGTACATGAATGTGCTCACCTGCCCAAAACCAATAGGCTGCTGCTGCTGGGGCTGAAACACAGGGGTGATTTTCTGTGGCCTGTTGAGGAGTGGGGTAGAGTGGTGATGCTGGCGCCCAGGAATGCCTCGCCTTCTGGACTGGCATGAAGACTCGAAGACTGAAGGAGGAGTAGATCATGTGACAAGGGAAGGCAAAAATGGCCAAAGACAGAGGATAGTATAAGTAAATGCAGAAAACCTGATGCCCAGCTATCAACAGCAGACTGAAAATAACACACAAACAGGATTAAGCAGGAGCTTTTTATTCCACCGCAACGAATGAAAATACACAACAAATCTTAGTGCTCACGTGGAAACAACCATGGCAGGAAGCTTTGAAAGCTTATCAGCTATTTCAGCTGTCCTGGAAGAGTTCCAAATTCTAAGACACGGTTGTACTCGTCCTCTTATTTAGATGGTTAAAAATAGTTGTGTTTTAGAGATCTGAGAGGTTTGTAACTAAGCTTGATCATAGAGTTTTGAGTGGGAACATATCATCGCCTATAAATAAACCTGGTACTACTAAAATAGAAAGTCATGCCCTTTTATGTTGGACTGTAGTTGCATTAGTTTGAAGGTTGTGAAGGGAGATACCGTAGACATGAAAAGAAAAAAAAGATTGCTTGAATTTCTATAAGAGAAAAAAAATCCACTATAATTTTTTTAATGAACACAGTTCCCAGTGTCCACTATCCACAAATGCTTAAAAGCACACCACATGTGTAAACCAATTTAAATACCTAAAACAAATTA